GTGTAACAATTCAAACCCAGGACTATCTGATTCTTTCAACCACATAATCTGTTAGGTTCTGTATGCTCAGTACATTTCTTAACAATGTCATCAGAACTCCATCATGGACACCCACTGACTTGCGTGACAATGCAGTGATGACCTTAGGTGCCACTGAGGAATGTAGCAGAATATGTTACTACATGAAAGGTCTCTAAACCTCACTGTAATCTTGTCACCTGCCATCCTGTCAGTGTGTGGTATGAGTATGGAATTCATGAACAGTCAGCACTATCCCTTTCACTCAAGCTACTATCATTTCTCATCCTGATGACTGAAAAAGCCTCCAAATGCATCTTGCTGCTTCATTGTTGCTCCACCCAACGGCAAGACTGACTAAATAGAAACATATTCATACCACTATTCTGCTCAAATGTTTTAAACAATTGTTCACACTTAAATCCGAATCCTTACCAAAGAACTTTGAAGCTTTGTATAACCAGACCTTGCCTCCTGACCAGCTATTATGGCTCTCAAACATGCTAAGCTAAATTCAACTGTGAAGATTTTATAAATGCTGTTGATTCTGTCTGGAATACTCTTCATCCAAATCCTCCCCATCCAAATCCTCCCCACACTCCTGAGTTGTGATCACTGCCATATTTATAGAGACTCCATCTCGATCACCCTAGAGAAAATACAGCTCTTACTCTTACACTCCATATGCCAACCCTTCCCTTGCTTCATTTATCTTCTTTGCTCTTTTCACTACTCAGAATTGTGTACATGTGTGTATGTGTGCATACATATTTGAGTGTGTATAATTTTAGTTTTGCATTGTACAGGTAGAATACACATACCCATACTCAAATTGTTCATTGTCTATCTCCTCCACTTTAACTTCACAATATTCCATATAGAGATTTTCACTGTCAAGTTCATCTGTGTGCTCCCAGATTCTAAGAGTGCTTGTTACCCATTGGGAAAATTAATCAAATGAAATAAATGACGATAGTGAAAACCTATATATATATAAAAGCTAAGAAAACTCAAATTCCAGTTCTAAACCAACAAGTTTAAATAAATCATGGAAAATGCTAAGCTTTGTTTTGTTTTCTGTCTCAATCAAAGTGAATATATTCACATTTATTTAATTAAATAACATATTATAAAATGCTATGGAAAAGATAAATAGGGATAATTAATCATTAGTTGAATTTGAGTATCTATCTCAAAATAATGAGTAAATTACTGAACCTTTTTTTTCCCTTCAAAAAAATAAGCCCTTATCATTTAGAAAATATGTTTACATAAGTTTTCCAGTGCACTGACGATGAAGGATAAAGAGGCAATACTCTTATTTTTTAAGTTTGAGTCGTATTTGCAATTAATTATTGCATTATACCATATCCAATAGGTTCAGGTACATATTTATGTTTTGTATTTGATTAAATGTGTCTTCAAGAGAGAAACTAACTATGAAATTATGCTTAGGATGCTTGATATGTGTGTACTAGGCAGACGGATCTTCCAAGTTTCCCACTGATCACTCTACTGCTTGTATACACTCTTAAGACCCAAGGTTTCTTTCTTCCTCCCTAGATTGATTATTTCCAGTTCTTCCTAAAAGAATGATACCATTCACCTTATTTTTCCTATTTCATTCATAGACTATTTCTAGTTTGCACAGCTCGTCAGGGTTTTGCAAAAGAGAAATCAGGGATTGTCTCCTTCTACTCTCCAGTGGGAAGACAGAAGCTTGCATAAATAGGGACAAAGACCAGGGAAGCTCAAGAAACTAATGTTGTTCAGAAATTAAGAGAGACTTTTTTTTTTTTTATGCAGAATAGTCTCGCTCCGTTGCCCAGATGGAGTATAGTAGTGCGATCTCTGCTCACTGAAGTCTCCATCTCCCGGGTTCAAGTGAGGCTTATGCCTCAGCCTCCTGAGTACCTGGAATTATAGGTGCCTGCCACTATGCCCTGCTAATTTTTGTATTTAAGGAGAGATGGGGTTTCACCATTTTGGCCAGGTTGGTCTGGAACTCTTGACCTCAAGAGATCTTCCGGCCTTGGCCTCCCAAAGTACTAGTATTACAGGCATGAGCTATGGCGCTCGGCCAAGACAGGCTTTAGGATAGTCCGGATAAGCTTTGCATATAATTTTTTGGCTGTTATAAAACAGAGTTTTCTAGTAGTTTTGAACCCCATTTCCTTATTTTCATTTTTCCTCACACCAAAAGGGTAAGGAAGCCAACTTGGGGCTATTACTGGCTTTTCGATGGCCTGGAACTGCCTGCTCCACACCCAAAAAATTATCATCCTGATTCTTCCTGTTCCTCCTTGTCTATTAGATGTTATTGCTCTGAGAAGCACGCTATGATCTAGAAGCTGAAGTAAAAAATAAATTCATGATAAAATGGCAATTGTTTGTAGGCCAACCATAGGACATAGTGAGATTTTAAGTCAGAACACACTGAGTTTTATCTCTCAACTCTGACTAGCTGTGTGATCTTGAACAAGTTATTGAATGTATTAGAGATTCAGTTGACTCATATGTAAATAGGTATAAAGGAGACTACTTCATGGTCCTTGCGGTGAGGATTAAATAAAATAATGTGTGTAACGTGCCCAGCACGGAGCCTTGAAAATACTAAATGTATCATTAGTATCATCACCATAGAAATGAATATTGTTCACAGATTAAATATTATTCTTTAAGTCCTTCCACATGTTAGCTCAAGGAGGTGAATAATGATAAACATATAATACACTAAAATTCATTGTCTTTTTATTTATTTTTTATCTTTTTCAGAAAGAGCCTTGGGATTTCCCAAAATGCATTAAGAATACAGGAACCTATTCTTTCCAAATATGAAAAGAGGCAGCTTTAACCATCAGGATTCTTTCTTCCAAACTCTTTTAGTGTGGGCTGATAAGGAATAAGAGTTGCTTAGTGATAATCCTACTTCTTTGCCTCTCACCATTAAACAATAGCAGCAGCGTAATTTCATCTTTGAGAGTTAAACTTTATTACTGTGGGAATCCTCACAGAATTCCTTTGAGCTGCAAACCAACTAGGTATGAGCATCATTATTTTTCTTTTTAATTTGCTTTTTTTTTTTTTACATGAAGGTACAGAAACCTAACTTTCAAATACTGAGGAACAAAAAGAGTATAATGTGATAGCATTTTAGTCTTAATTTTGTCACTAGCTGCAATAGTTTAGTAAAGTCAGTTCCTATCAATATATTCGTCAGATGTCCTAATTCTTCAAATGCTTGGCTTACAACTACATAAGGCAGTTACAATATTAAAATAAAGTGTGAATTAAAATCATTTTGCTAAGGAAGAACCACTCTGCAGTTTTAAGAATAATTCTATCACAACCGCAGCCAGAAGCCAAATTTATACATCAACACTTCATTATTGGAGACAGTGGTACATGGACAGTTTTACAAAGATTGCAATTGTGTTTTCATGGTTTTTGCACTTGCTGTGACTATCTTGTTTATAGTACTTGCTTTTATCTATAAGGAAAAGACTGTCAAATCTGCACAGTTACTCAACTTAATATATTTTCCTGAGTTTTTATTTCAGTGACACTTGTGATCCTTGTGATTTGTTTCATTGCTAATCTAAACGGAGCAGCTAATTATCCAGGCTGAGATGGGATTCTGATAAACATGCCTTTGCCAGATCTGAAGGATCACCTTTGAGCCTGGTAAGACAGGGTCTGGAGAGTGAGGGAGAAGTAAATGTCAGCCAGCTTTGGAGCCATGAAGAGCAATCACTATAGAGAAAATTTAGTTAATTTTGGTCTGAAAAAGTTTTCAGAATGTTTTCAAATTTACTAGCTTTTCAGAGTCACTTACAGCTTTCCCAACTGAAACCCCACCAGAGGTTTTTTGTTTTCCAGGAATTCTTAGAAGTGCAACAAAAATGGTCATGTGATCACTTGATACATTGTGTGTGCTTTGTTATAATAGTTCCCAGAAGCTGTTAAGAAAAGTAAAGCACTTGCACTCTTCAGAGAAGTATCGGAAAGGTTCAGCTACTAAGCCTCCAACTGCCAAGTATCTAAGAATAGATTCATATTTAACTGACGAGATAAACTTGAGTGATTAACCCATAGAAATGCAACCATATCATGCTGAGCATGTCTTTGGAGAAATGGAAACAGCAAAGACAGACAGCAGAACAGGTGCAGAAGAGATGAACAAATATACAGTTCCTAAAACAATAATTAGCTGCCACTTTAAGATGCTTAGATTCTCAAGCAAAATGTATAAAAATCTCACCACAAAAATGCACTGCACTAAATCATAGAAATACTTTTCCCATTAAGAATCAACTTGTACACATCAACTCTATATAAGCTTTTTCAATTGAAGAAAACTTAATATGTATTAGGTATGAAAATCCATATTTATAATATCCTTAACACAGGAGACAATTATTTTCTTTCATGATGATTCCTACATCAGCAAAAGGTTTTACTACTTGACTACTTTAAATAGGCTAAAAATAGATCATTAACTGGAAGAACATGAACTACTAAAAGCCAGTTCAGTTCAAAGTTAAGGTCAATAAAAATAAAGATAAAGCATCTCAATTTATATCGAAGCAACTCAGTTTAGAGAATTAGATTTACAAAACTTTGATCTGCATGACACTTCTCAGGAATGTTACTTTGTACAATCTGAGTCGTGTACAATCTGCAGATCTCTTAAGGCCACACTTCAGAAGTCAACAAGAATCATTTCTACTGTATTTCAGCATATAACCCCAGATCCTAGGGGATGGAGTATTAGTAAGGACTCTCTGAAGAATAGCATATATGGTGAAATATATTGTGGTGGCCAACACAATTTACCATGGGACCACCATGATTTGTTAGAAAAATCATGTGCATCATTTCTTTCTCATAATTCTCAATGTGAACCTTGGAAAGCAGCCATATTTTGTGCTATGCATCCTCAGAGCAAAAGACAGAAGCTACTAGATAAATTTGGCACTCACCTGGCGGAACTGTTCCAGGTCAATTTTGTTACCCACCAGCACCAGGGGAATTTCATAGGTGTGGCGGACCTGAAAAATGAGTTCTTTAAACTTGGCAGCCTCCTGAAATGATTGACGGTCAGTGACGGAGTAGCAGATGATGAAGCCTTCCCCACCCCGCATGTACTGCTCTCGCATGGCTGTGAATTCTGCCTGCAGGAAAATAAAATTTAGTTATAGGCTTCGGATATAACTAATTAATATGAGTTCTAAATGTAATCATTATATAATTTGAATGTTTAAACTATTAAGAATATTGATATTTAATCATAGTCGATTTCATTTAAGAAATCTTAGAAAGACATATTAAATAGCAATTTTTACTCATGAACTCTTAGGCATTATATAAAGATGACGTATTTTTTTTTTTAATTTGTAATGATCTCCCTTTAAGCAACTGAATCTAAATGTGTATACTCCAATTATTAAATTTATTTGAACCCAGTCTAGATATTCTTTAAATTACATATTTCAGATATTTTCTCACTTTCCATTTATTAAAACCAGTTTTCTTTTCTAGAAAGAAAAATTACTTAGCATTAAATTTTATTTTTAACTCAATCCTAAATTTCACTATGTGAGTGAAATGTACTAATTTGGGAGAAAAAATACTTTATTGGATCCATGTTTCATTCCCTAACCAAGATTGGGTAATAAAATATCTAGGGTCCCTCACAGTTCTGACATACTCTGATTTTGAAACCCTATATCTCAATCAGAACCCCATAATTGACAGGGATCAATTAGAGAAGTATGAACTGAATATGATTACTTACAGTTTCTCAAACTTATATTTCTTTGGAAAAGAACAGGAGCATCATAGATATATATTTGATCTTTAGGAAAACATAACTAGATCTGTTATATCAGTTCCATATGATTCAAATGATAACAAAAATGCAAACTAAATTAGAAAAGATCTATTTAACAATTTAAAGTTTATTCTACTTTTCAACTATTATTTTCAGTACTAAAGTTTTTGATTTTCAATCTAGTGCTTTTAGAAAATTAACAAATAAGATATTAGCAAAATATTTAAGTGTTACAGATGTATATAGTACAAACTTAGTTTTCTTCCCACCTCGAGCTTCTAGTTTTCTTTTTCAAATGCATCAGTCAATAATTTAACTTTACAGTATTGTCTGTATAATACAAGCATATACATCTTCCTTCTTCCTTTATACATCTTTCTAAATTCAATGGGAACATAATATATACCTTTAATTATAATTTAATAGCCCTAATATACAATGGAAGCTATTCTATATAAGGATATATAAATATTGCTTATTCTTTTTTATAGAGGTATCATTTTTAATACATGTACCATAATTTATTTAGCTATTTATCTATGAAAGGCATTTTGATGGCCTCCTCTTATTCTAATTATAGACAAAGCTGTGATATATATTCTTAAACATTTATATTGCACTGATTTATCTATACTTGAGAGACAGTATTTCTAGACCAAAAAGAACATGTATTTTTTGAGAAATATTGCCAATTTCAATGCCAAAGACATTGTATCAACATTATTTTCTCCAACATAATATAAATATGAATATTTCTCTTTATTTTAAACAATGCTGCTTATAAAATTGTTCTGTTTATAAATTGTAGAATTGAAACATCATCTTCCTTTTATTTGCATTTATTATTTATGTGTTATGTTCAGCATGTCCTATGTTTTATATTCATTTATATATTGTCTTCTACTACTGATTTTTATTTTGTTGAGAAGAATGTAGTAGTTTTCTTTGAAGGGAGTTGGTTCTACTTGTTATTCAATTGTAGATTTTTAAAATTTGAACTGAGGGAAGATATATCTATGTGAGACATAAGAAAATGAGCAATGCATTTGACTACTTCAACAAAAATATACCATAAAGAAATGACTAGCAAATTTAACAAAGTGGAACAACCTGTTAGGAAGATAAGTAACTCACAGAAAGGCAGAATTCACAGAGTAAAATATTGCATGATGATTGAATGACTAATGGTCCAATAGTGCTTGCTAACCAGATTCAAAGTCACATACATATCACATTAACAATAGATATGTCAAGGAATCACATCTGATCTAAATTGGAAGAAATCTCCAGGTATAAAGTTCCAGCATGCATACTTGAAAATTTGGATGATATTTTCTTTGCGCCTCTCTGTATGAATATGCATTTATGGTCAAGAGTGGTCTTTATAATCTAGAAGCAGAGAAAGAGAGTCATAGTATATGACCTCTAGCTAGGACTGTTATTAACTTAAAGCATGTCTCTAACATGTCATGTGAACTCTCTGTGCCTCAGTTTTCTCCTTTGCTAAAGATGGATTAGGACACACACTTAACCAGTCTTATAAGGCAGTAGAAAGGCTCAAATGAGAGAAGAGGTGTGAAAATACTTTGATGAAGTTTTTAAATAAGATACAAATTAAGCCTGTATTATCTCTGGTACAAATCTGGCAGAATAGAAACCCTCTTTTAGATGCATTAAATATAAATGTGGCCGTGTTTTTTATAGAAGCTTAATCAGAAAAGTATTAACCTTTTTTTTTTCCCAAAAGAAAATGTTTCCACCAATAAAACAGACGTAGTAAAGCTATCATAACTAATGGGGAGAATATTTTCTCTTTGATGACCTTTTCCATGCCAACTCTTTATACAATATATGTGCATGTTTCTGGGCTGTGTGTTTTACTAAAGATGTAGTAGAGGCTGACGGGACTCAGAGAATTGAGCGAAATATCTTTACTATGTATCAACTTAATAATATACAATACGGAAGTCACTTTAAAAGAAAAAATGCACTTTGGGAGGCCGAGGCGGGTGGATAGCGAGGTCAAGAGATGGAGACCATCCTGGTCAACATGGTGAAACCCCGTCTCTACTAAAGATACAAAAAATTAGCTGGGCATGGTGGCGCGTGCCTGTAATCCCAGCTACTCGGGAGGCTGAGGCAGGAGAATTGCCTGAACCCAGGAGGCGGAGGTTGCGGTGAGCCGAGATCGCGCCATTGCACTCCAGCCTGGGTAACAAGAGTGAAACTCCGTCTCAAAAAAAAAAAAAAAAAGAAAAAGAAAAAATGCTGTATTCAACATGTTGCTTCATTCACCCACAAATTAAAGATCCCTATGCTTTCTGTTTGGTGTATCCTGAATGTTAATACCTTCTTCATTTGCTTCTTGTTATAAATGAAACTCGTTGGTTAATTATTCAGGAACATTACTAGATTTGGTTTGCTATCTATAAATAGCAACATATCTATGAAGCAGACCTTCTGTATAAAATGCTACAAATATAAGCAATTCTAATATTTTCAGAGTTATTCTGAATACATTTCAGTTTGATCAGTTGCCTTTGATATACTTTCTTATATTAAAATTGTGTGATAATTTTTATATATTCTGAAAATGAATAAAGAATTTTTGATGAATTTCATATATCAACTTATTGATTATCAGAGTAAGGAATTTAAGCAGATAATAGGAAATATTGGAACTGGACCAGCTCCCTGTTGCATTCAAGGAGCAATACTACAAAGATATGAATGTCTCACTATATTCAAAATGTACTAGGACTATATTTGAACCAGCTAATTAACCACCCTCTAGTAATGGCACACAGATAGCATTTCCTATACTGATCTGAATCCCTTTTGGCCATCTCTTTTAAAAAAACCACATGTCCATATCAAATTTGTTATCCTTATGAAAAGAAGTAAATTGAAAAGTCAGTCAGTCATATACCTAAAACTATACCAAGTGATAGGGCATGAAAACAAAAAAAAAAGTCTGAACTTGTCTGGGTTTGGGAAATACAACCAAGCCAAGATAAAACAAATGAATAAAAATTAAGATATAAATAAACCTTGGGGTTCAGAAAAGGGCAAGAGCAGTTTTCAGAAGGAAAGAAAAGAGGAGTAGGTGAGGGAATAAGATATTCTTCCTTAAATGCAATATTTGTACAGAGATCCTCAACTTTTAGGTAACCTCACTTCCCAAGGTTATGTATTGTCACTTTTAAATGGAATTTTATTGCCCAAATTTATCATTTGCATAGCAGTTAATTATCTAGGACCTGCTTACCCTTCAATAGTTGAGTTTTTGGAGGGTGCCATAGCACAGAATCATGTGAGTGTGGTTTCTTTTGTTTTCATCTTTTTAACGAAAGAAGAATAGAACAACTTATAAATGATTGAGTCTAAGTATCATAAATTTACTATAATTTTTGAAAAGTACAAGGACTGCAACACGTAAGGGTGGTGGTTTCTCAGTCTCAATCTGATACCTCAAACTGGTTATGTCAATTGAAATGAAAATGACATATATTAAAAGCTTTTATAAATGCCAATAATATGAAGTTAAAGATTGTGCCTAAAAGTCAAAATATAATTAACAAATATACCTTACAGTTTTCAGAGAAGATAACCTATCATTTGTTTTTTGGTATTTGACACATATTTTTAGGAATGCATTTTATCTTGGAATACTGCCTGTACTGTGCCTAATTCATTCATAAAATATTTATTGAACACTTACATATGACAGGCATGTAAGATTTGAGATTGCTAAAATGAATACATATAATAAAGCAAAAATATGGATAGATAAATTAAAAGAAGACAAATAAAAATTAGAGCATCAGAGCCAGGAAAGAGTGAGGAGACAGAGTTTTATTTGAAATTTGACTATGAATATCTAAACAACCCAAGCTACAATGAAAACAAGATCAATTATATCACTTTTGTCATCAATAACAAAATATTAATTTGACACAAATCTCCCCTAAGCACTGAGCGCTGAAGGCAATTTCTCTTCTCGGGGTTGAGATAAGGGACAACATCTTCAATGTCAATCCAGCTAGATCTGCAGTACCAGATTCTCTAAAACTAATTTGTGATTGTGGTTTTTAGTGTAAGCCTCGCCAAACATTTCATAGACATGCTAAATAATACTGATAGAGTCTTCAAGTAAGATAATAGAAAATCATTCTGTAGAACATGATTAGTGTGTAATAATTGAGAATGATGTTTAAAAACCTTATATTTTAGTTCCTGAAAAACTAGGAAGGGCCTTGATTCTGATGTTGGCATTGACATTGGAGGCTTGAAGGGTACTTGGAATCCAACTATAATAACAGTTCCTGGAAAAACTCTTAA